CTCTGGAAGTCAGACATCCTACCCCCCCCCTCCCCCACCCCCATCAGACATTTCCCCTACCATTATTCTCGGCCAGATAGTACCGGATTTATCGTGTTAGTTCTTCATGGGATAAATAAATGTCAGCGCCCAACCACCACTGCACCCTTTCCACTTTGTTTATTGTATACATCATATCAGTAATATGAATTGTTATAACTTACGGTCTTAGGCGGAAGCAAAAGCATTGTCAGACAAATAAGTGGTGATTTATTTATACAGTACATCAAATAGTTTGTGACGGGTAGTGCCAGTGCTGAATAGTTCAGTTATTCAGCACAATAAGGATATTTATAATTAAACGTTGTTCTTCACTGCAGATACTTGCCAGTTAACAGAGAAAAAAATCTTAGAACAAAGGAAACATTTGAATAAATAGGTTATTGGCGAAAATAAATTCTGTCAAGCCACTTATTGTATCGATGAGCGTTGGTGCGACCGGGGAGTTGAAAATGAGAAAATATCAAATTATGCAACAATTTTCATAGAAATATCATCCTACTGTTACATCCACTCGCATAAATACACGTAGGGAAATACCCGCCCGATAAAAAAATAATAGTGGCAGGGGAAAATTACTATCAGGGAGGAAGTCTTACTATCGTCCGAACAACCCCTTCGCAGGACAAACTCTAGGATCATCTCCCGAGCAAAAAAAAAAAAAAAAAAAAGGCTGTAAAAAGTACCCTCGTAGGCACGGCCACCCACTGGCCTACATTTATTTCTTTATTTATTTTTTAAGATTACCCAGATTATAATTGGAACGGATTTGGCTACTCAAACGAAGGCTAATAACCTACTAATCTAATACATGAAACAAAAAATATTCTATAAGTAACACAAGTACCTCACAGTGCCTGACTCTAGTAGCGAGGTTTTTAATGATATCAAAATGAACTTGTGGTTCACTAGAGAAGATGGGAGACAGTATATAACGTCGTCTGTTTGAAGCTAATTTAAGCAATGACATGTATTTTAAACCTATACAGTTTATGCATGTAAAATAACACGAAGGAATTAATACTTTTTGAGAAAATGCATCTTTTCATCACTGAAGGAGGTTTCCTTTGTATTTGTTACCATTTGCAGTTGATATTTCTATATGGTATAACGTGATATAACGTATTTTTGGTATAGACATTTCAACTTGCAGACTCTACTGCAAAATCTGCATTATCCGTAGTGCATGTTTCCAGACTCATGTTTCGGGAAACCAAATATCAAAGCAATGGTAGAGGAAGCAAGCCTGCAGAAGATTCCTTTATTTTTATAAATAACATTGTTGTTGTGACTACTACTTTTATAAATTTATAATTGCCATTAAGATTATCACATTATCATCATCCAGTGAAGATAAGTTAAGAAAGATGAGCGTTCATAATAGCATCATCATTATACAAAATAATGACATTAACCTGAAGTAGCACACTGAGCTTAACGTGGGCATATGCTAAATAGTGATGATAACAATGGTAATAATAACGATAATGGTAATAATGATGATTATCATTATTTCCATCATCATATTTTTTGATATGGAAGCTTCATCAACGAGGGTTCAATTTATCCATAATTTTCGAATAATAACTCAAGTAGAGACGAGACAACGCAATAGAGCCAGGTTGTTCAGCTTGGTCCGCGCAGGTGTCTTCTTCATCTGGTAACATCTGGTTCTTTGAGGTTGCCATGAATCACGGATGTTTATTCAAAATGATATTTGGTCAATACTTGACCATTGTAAAAGTCAACATAAGAATCTGACCTACATAATTCGACATATACACATGTAACATTCCAGAACAATTGCTGTCATTAGACACCTGTTTAGTAGGAAATCGTAGTAATATATTGCATATTATGAAAGATAATTCATTATTTTCATATTTCCGTGTTACCAATATGATTATAAGTATAACATTTTTAATATACCATCGGCGTGTGTAAAACAGTCTCCGGCATTGCTTACTTCTCCTGTTAGCTGCTGATCACACAAGCTTTTTCTCCACCCACCCTTCCCTATTCTAACATACTTTTAATTCTACTCTTGCAATGCCATTCATACTATATTCTCAATAATATTTTCATTTACAATTCTATTATAAGATTATACATAGGGGGAATTCCATTATACATAAGATTGACCCAAAGAAACCTAGGGTCTGGGCAGACATACCCAGGAGACAGGTGTGTTCAATGCCTCAGTGCATGACTCTACAGGGTGCTCAGGATGAGTTCCTCTGTAGTAAGGTCACTTCTTGTTTTGTGGATTGTCCTGCCTGGGAGTACTGGTATTATAAGGAATCCTACTCAAAAACCAGTGTCATTAAGGGTATACTTTCAGATAGCTGAACTGAATGCTGGCTACAGCATATTCTGAAATGAATATGAAACGAGAACTTAACTAAAGAGCAATCAGGAAAGCAGAAAGTAAAAATAAATCCTATACTCTATCAACATGAAA